TCACTGAAGTGAAGCAGGACAGAGTAGAGTCAGGATGAAAACTTTATAAAAGATCTGGAGCAGGAAGTTGCTGATATAAAGAAGAGGAGCAGAGCTTGATCCACAGTGGCCTCAGTGTGGAAACCTAGACAAGACACTCTGTGGAGGGCTACCCATAGCATCTACCAGTGAATATCTGTATTAGGGCTGGGCGATAAAACGATAACGATATGTATCTCGATAGACACATAATCAATATCAATAGAAAATGCGTTTGATAGAACGTTTCGATATGTTTTTTTTTTTTTTCCTCATTGGAAGAAACCGGCGTAAGTTTAGCTCCGCTTTGGCTGCGAAGCAAGGTTGGTTGCATGAACATACGAGCGAGGAAATTGTGGGAAAAAATGGAAAGGTCAGCTCGCCAGTATGGGAGTTTTTTGGATTTTATAAGTCAGATCAATGTTGTCTGTAAATTATGCAAGACCGTCGTCCCCACCAAGACTGGTAATACAACTCATTTGTTTTACCACCTTAGTTTATAATAAAAATGTTTAATTTAGTATATTTCCTCCTGGCCTTATTTTAAAAGTCATAATATTATTTTTTTTTTTCAATAATTATCGATATCGACCCGATATGAAACACCTGAAATCTGTATCCACAATATATCGCCCAGCCTAATCTGTATGTCCTCTGGTTGCATTTTCGAGAGGAGGGGGGAGGAGGGAGTGCGGGAGGGGGTGAGGCGGGGGGGAGTGCGGAGCGTAGGGAATGGAGCGAGGGAAGAAGATGTGCGGGAGTGACGGAGAGGTGTAGAGGGTGTGGTCAGAGAGCAATGCGGAGAGAGAGGGAGCGGGCGCAGGCAGCGCGAGATTCTAGGAGAGCGAGGAGGGAGGAGTGGCGAGGATGAGCGCCGAGGAGAGCGAGAGGAACGAGGTGAAGCGGCGAGCGAGGTTGAGAGGAGAGAGGCAGAGAGGTGGACGGGGAGGGAGCCGAGTCGGCGAGGGAGTGTGCGTGCGGAGCGAGGAGCGAGGAGGAGGGAGAGGGAGGGAGGGAGCGGGAGAGCACTGAGCGGAGTCGCGCGGGGGGAGGGTGTGCGTGGCGGAGCAGCCCGGACAAGTAGTGAAAGAGGGAGATGAGAACACAAAGTAATTAATCAGCCAGATATCGTCCGGGTGTGACGTCGAGGGCTGTGACCTACGTTTTGAGTTAACGGGAGAGGTGCGTGTGGACTGAGAGCGTGATGACTGGCGTTGACAGGCAAACATGAAGGTGTGCTTTAGGTTTGATTGAGGGTGTTTGTGATCCTCAGAGTGACCCGAGTACCAGCAGTGTGATAGTTGGTGTGACGATCCTGTGAGTATTGTTGTATGAAGGTCGCGATAAACGCGGTCTAATGTATCTACTGGCAGCTTGAGTGCTTTTAATTGTTGAAGGGTTGGTTGATGTATGTGTAGTGATGTGCATGCTGAGATGACTTTCGTTGTTACCCACGTTTCCGGCCTCTTGTGTGTTTTCGCTTTTTTCATATTGTCTCTCAGCGTTTGGCGTCTGTCTTTTGGTGTCTTCGTGCTTGGTCAGCTCGGTCCTGCGTGTCTCGGTCTTTGGTGGTGGTATTCTCATCCGGTCGGGGGTCGTGGCCGTTTCCAGTTTAAGGGTGCTGAGTACCGGTGTGGGTGCTGGCGTCCTCCGGTGCGTGTGGGTGGGTTGTGTGGCTGTCGAGTGGCGTCTCGATGTCAGGGATCAGCCGCTCGGTCGGATGCCGTCTGTCGTCGGCCGGAAGCTCGGCGCTGGCTGGTGTCTCGTGGTGGTAGGCGTTTGCTCTTGCCGCAGGGAATGAGCGACGATTTGGTGTTGGGTGGTTGTCAGGTTGAGGTGTCGAGGGTGGTTGTCGTCGTCGTCTGATGTGGGTGTCGCCGCTCGTGGTTCGTCGTCACTCGGTGCCGTCTCGTCGCTGGCGGCGTCGCTTCTTCCTCGGTCGGTGGCACATCAGCTAAAGACATTGCAGTGTGTCGACGCAGGCACACGCAGACCATGCTGGTTGCTGTCGGGAAGAAGAAGAAGAAGCTGCTGCAGCGTGCGTGCGTGTGGCAGGAGTCTTTTAAAGGACCCTTGCCGTAGTCGAGCAGCGATGCTCCACCTGCAGTGCTCATCATCCACCAGCACGGTCGTCTCACCTCCCCTCTCGCTCTCTCCTTTCCTCTCCCTCCGCCACCCACTCAGCCTCTTTTTCCTCACACTTTCTCCCTCGGTCCTCTCCTCTCTCACACAGTCGTCACCTCTCAATCATTGTCATGCACTTCGTCCACTTACACACATGTTGTGTTGCTAGTTGTGTGTGTCAGGGTTAAAGCCCTTAGTCAGAGGGGTGTGAGTCATCAGTGTTGCTGTAGTCAGGAGAGGGGGATTCTCCTCTTTTTCGCCTCCCTCCTCCTCCTCCTATCTCGCTCCAGCTGGACTTAAACCGGGAGAGGAAACGTTAGCGTGAGTCACGACACCATGCTAATCTGTGTGTGTATGTGTTAGATCATATGGGATATCCCTGCCTTTATTTATTTATTTATTTATGTATGTATGTATATGTATATGTGTAACAGAGGTACTAACACCTTCTTTTGAGATCTTGATGGAGTTTGTATATTTGAAGACCCAGTGTGTGTTGTGTGTGTGTGTGTGTGTGTGGTGTGGTGGTTTGTGTCGTGTGTTGATTGCTGTGGTGTGTGTGTTGTGTGTTAGGTGTGTGTAGTGGTGTTGTGTGTGTGTGTGTCTATTTACTCACGTAGGAAATGTTTTCTCCAATAACGTCAATTTCCAAGGTGACCGTTGACTTCATTGAGTCGGTCTGACTCCGACCTCTGGAAGTTCCTGGATTGGCCGCAAGCCATGGGTGGGAGACCCCGAACCCTGCCTGGTATACACACACACACACACACACACAATTCATGCAATACAGCACATACCACACGGGTGGTAAATACAAGGATCCGATGCACATACCATCCACAACTACAACCATTAGGATTCACAACACAAACGAAGGAAAAAAACATAAAAGAAAAAGACTTAATGACTTGACGACATAC